AAAGAGTTGCAGTATCTTTTAGATAATACGTTTTGCAGGGTGTAAGAGATTATCAAGGCTCTGGTTGGTTTTTTCATTTGGGTTTTTCATTTGTGTCATCCCCTCTCTGCGCCCCTGTCCTGTCTATCTTCAACTGTCACTATCATAAAGGGAATAAAAGCCCCAAAAAATACTAAGTTAGTAAAAACAAAGTTACGTATGTAGCTTTAAGGGACTATGGTCTGGAAGGCTAAAAATATTTTGTTGTTTTACAATTCAAACAACTTCAATCTAAATGAGCTAGCTTATCTTAGTGCAGGAAGAAGGGGGTTTGTTTAGCACCTGTGGATAATGTGGTAATGTTAGCTGAACCATTTCTCTCCCTCACCCCACAGTGCACTGCGGGTGTCAGTGTACAGAACCTTAGAGCTGTGGGTGCAGGTGGCTGGAGCCTCTGCTAGCATACTGCAGGGAAGCCCTGGTCACTCAGAGCTCCTGTTCAGCCACCTGCTCGGTGACATCACACCAGGGGCGGAGTCTGTCAAGGTTGGCTCAGTTTCAATGTCTTTAGCGTTTGTGTAGCATTTAATGTATTTTACATTTACAAAATGCCTAGTTTTATAGATTTTCTTAGCTTAGATATCTACTGAGTGCAGCGGCACTTTAGTATTGTCTCAAGCTCCACCTCCGTTCCTCTGTGTCTTGTCCTCCAGCTCCGGGTGGGTCTGTCAGCAGATGTGGTTCCTGGAGGGAAGCCTGGCCCGCGGCGGACAAAACCATTAGTTATAGCTGACTCAGTTGGACCATCACTCCAGAAGAAAGGAGACCTTCTGGCCAATCAGGATACTTGCCTTTCAGCCCTCAGGGGTAATTACACCATATAATAGGCTTGTGATATTTATAAATCTGGTCTAATCTGACAGATTTTTAATTCTTCTTCACAGCACTACGACAAATCATACTGAGCAGTGGTACATTGCTGAAGGATGATATACACAAGGTAAATGTCATTGTTACATTTTAATTGCTAAACGGATCAATATCTGAACACACAGCAGAGAGCAGAACTGACCCTTCTGAAATCTTGCCCCTTTTTGATAACAGTTTTGCAAGCCTCAGTCAGAACAGATATACTACGTCCTAGGCCAGTTTATGTTGAAGAGACAACCACATTTTGAAAATGGTTAGAAGATAAGAGACATATGTAGTCCCAAGTGTTTTATTTTTTTAACAATCTTCAAAATGTGGTGCTCTTTTCAACATGGACGAGCCTAGCACATCTATATCCCGCATTCCTCAGTACGGGACGCCAGTTTGCTTTTCTAAGGATGTGGTGAAGTCATGACCTCTCCTACTCTGCCTGTTATTGGCTTGCCCTATCATTCTTACCCTAACCAGTCTCACTCCTCATGCCTAAACCGAACCAGTCAAGGTGAAGCCAGTGAAGGCAGTAATAAGTAGCCAGTCAGAGACAGATAAAGGCAGGTCATGACTTCACCACCCTGGGGGGAAAGAATTGGTACATTCTCTCTCCATCACGTAACTACTGATTCTGTTGCAGAATGGACACCTCATTCTTTTAGTCAGCGTGTAGTCCATTTGTTTTTTTCTCACAGCGTCTCCATGACGTGGTGCTGCCGCTGTGTGTGCGGCTCCAGCAGCAACAGTCCAGCAGCAGCACATCATGTGAATCTGCAGGGGGCACCAGTGGGCAGTACAGCAGCGCCCTCACCCGACGAGAGCTGTACAGGTACCACCTTCATTCACCTCCAAGATACTTTGGTTATTACTTTAAATTCAAAATAAATGGTTTAAGAGTTTGAGAACAATGAAGACTGTTGGCAGTGTAGATGTGTCCTTATTAGTGTTTTGTTCATGTGGATTTTTAGGTTATTGCTGGCTCTGGTCCTGGTCCCATCACCCTGTTGGCCTCCGCCTATGACCTGTGCTGTGTCCATCCTCAGCAACGGACGCACCGACCGTAACCTCAAGGTGACTGTGATTCTGAAGGGGAGAGTGGGAGAGAAAGACTGCTACAAGTGTTTGCCAGTTTGTAGAACACATCAATGAGTTGAAATTTTCATCGCCAAGGCACTGTTCCACCATTAGGGGCGGCTGTGGCGCAGAGGCAGAGCGGGTCGTCCCCTAATCGGAAGGTTGTTGGTTCGATCCCCGGGTCCTGG